CCCCCCCCCCGGGGCACCCCCAAGTGGGGAATTTTTTTTTTTTTTTTTTTTTTTTTTTTTTAAATACGCGCAGTCATTGTGTGTGTGTGTTAGTCATTGATGTGACATACAGGAACAGACGCAACCTCTGCAGGCCTCATTTTACCAGCAAAGTCTGTTGAAGTACTCTGTCAGATGGTGATATCATGTCTGTCTGTTTTTTCTTTTTTACACAGTCTGATGCAGATGAAACTGTGAGTCATTCACCACCACCTCTCTTCTTGAACTCATCACACCTTTGCTTGTCTCTTTATTTGCTCTTGTTAACACTCTACTTGTCATACACACAACCACCTGCTGCCTGAAGTATAAATGCAGGTCCCACTTTGTTGCCAAAACTCCTGACTAAAAAAGGAAGTGTGTCTGCACATGCTGGCTAGACAAAGTGAGAGAGAAACTGAAATTTGGTCGCCCTCCTTTAGCTTGTCCGACCGGTCATGCAGGTGTGTGTGGCAATGCATGGGTTTATTCACCTTTCAAGCCGGGTTGATTGGGGCGCTTGGCTGCTGCAGCAGAGGCTGTATCAACAGATAAGAGGAACTGACCCTTCACTTATTTGGTGGTAACAATGCATTTCTTTGAGCCAAGATAAAGAGATGTGGTAGGGGGCATATCAAAGGCAGTTAGGCGAAGAGAAGAACAGTAGTAGACTGACAGAGTTGGGCTGGAAGTAGATCAAGACTGATTAGAGAGGAAAGGCTAGAAGAAAAATAGAAAAGGAAAGGCTGAGCTTTGAGATGGGTTGACAAGAGAACATACAGTTCTTGAAAGATGTAACTGTCTCTCTCGAAAACCCTCTTTCACGTTATGCTGACAGTCGACATTCTCTAGCCCAGAAAAAGCTGCAGCTTGGTCAACTTCCCACAGCTAGCTACCGTATGCAGGCCAAATGTTGAGTAAATGCAGGGTGTGTCTAAAGCTGGAGCTCTCTTTGTATGTTTTTCTGTGCACAGAGCAAACACAACGCCGCTGACACACTTGTATGATATTCTCACTGTGTTGCTGTTTTTCAAACAGAGGTGTCTTCGCTAAAACATTTCTGTCTTTATTCTCTTCCCCCCCCACCTCTGTCTTTCTCTCTGCAGTCCAATCCTCCCTGTTTGTGGGCTCGGTGCTTCGGTGGCCTTCTACACATGAGCAACTAGACCTCAACCTCTGACCTTGGCGTGATCTTTCACCTCTTCTACCAAACCACGCCCACAGGTGAAGGTGTGTATTTCTGATCGTCTTTGAGAGGGTGTCTGTGCCCGTGTTGGTATTCTGATGTTTGCTTGTAGTATTCTGGCAACACATTAGTAGTGTTCTGCAAAACCTACACACTGCAGAGGATTTGCATTTTAGTATTTTCTGGAGTGGTGCCTTGGAGTGGTACTAAGTTTATTGATCATCATCTAGGGATGGTGATATTGACAAATTTAATACCACCGTGATTCTTTTTGGTGATATTGACAAATTTAATACCACCATGATTCTTTACACATTACCATAATCAGTATGTTGCAATATTTATGAACAATACAATAACCAAGGTTTTAAAGTGTCTGACTCTCACCTCTGTCATCGATACCAAGGTATTGCCAAAGGCAGCATGCAAAGCCGCTTTTGAAGTTTCTGTGTGGTGGGAAAAAAACTTGACTGAATGAGTCATTACACCATAACAGGTCTTCTAAGGATTCGGGTTTCAACCGGAAATGCACCTTGTATACTAAGTGTATGTTCTCTATTGAGAACAAAAGACAATTTGCACTGTTGTACAGAGCCGATTGTTTTCTGAGAAGGCATCGTAGAATCTGTTGGGTGAAGCAGATGCGTTGACTCATCCTTCTTGCTTATTTATCAGACCTAAATATCCAGCATCCTCTGGATCTTGCTATACTTTGTTCAGAGAGGTGTGTTTGTTTTTGTTAGACACTCACTCTGGATACTGTAGTGTGTTTGAAGCTGCATGAAGGTGTGTAACAGCCCCCTCTCTCCCCTTGGGGCTGTGTAGTGTGTATGGAGCAGTGTGAGAGCGCAGCGGCTCTGCTGGAGTCAGTCAGAGAGCAGGAGGTGCAGTTTGAACAGCTGACCCGGGCAGGAGGAGAGGAGGAGAGTGGGCCTCCCTGCCACCAGCCCCTCGGCCCTGGGTTGCCCCCTCCCTCACACACAGGTAACGCTCCCCAACATCCCCGCCCAGATTCGCCCATAGGCGTCCCCAACCCCTGTCTTTCATCACCAGTGCGTGGGTCATCAGTCCTTCCAGTGAATTCATGCATCATTTTCTACTTCTGACATTCATCCATCCCTTCTCTCCTCCGTCCCTCCTTCTCTTCGCCACCGCTCAGGGAGTTTGTATGTCTATGTATTTTTGTGTGCCATCATTAAATGTCTTTACTTTTTGCTCATCTGTGTGTTAACCTTTATTTTCAAACATATCAGATCATACCTCCACCTGGTTCCTCTACTGTGAACATACCTGAGGTGTTCATCATCACAGCCTTTTTGCATGGCTTCACTCTCACTCACCGTAAACACTCTGACACACACATGTGCATACCTCACACGTACATACTGTACCTTTCGTCGCCCCCCTGCTGTGGAATCTTGGTTATTTTCCTCTCTGTTTCAGCATGTTGTTTTTGGAATGCGGTCATTTTGTTGCTTGAGTCACATACTACTGCATCCATTGTGGCTTCTTATCATGAGAAATGTTTTTCTTTTAATGATCATGTAATTCATTTATCGAACACTCAGTGTGATTGTAATTGCTTCTGTTGGGCCTGGACTATGCTATATATTCCTTTGCATGCAGTCATCCTTTGTAAGAACCTTCCAGAAATTCCAATCTTTCTGATGATTTTATATTAATAATACAGGATTTGTTATATTTTTGATACATTAGCTGCACTGTTTGAATGGCAAAAAATTGAATTTTGGAAGTTTTTGACCTGTAACCTATTTAATTTAAATGAGTTAAAAACAGCTTTCCCACCTTATTTAATCCTAATTTTGAGTTAATTTACAAGAAATTTTAGTACCTTACAGTAGGAAATAACATTGTGATGGTAGATTTATTTTCTGCATCACCACCACCTTCTGTTTGCATTTAGCTGTGCTGATAGTTTTAAAACTCTGCTGTTTCATTTACAGCCGAGTTATTTGTTTGGATGAGGTTCTGCAGTTGCCCTCTTGTCCCATTTGTAGTCTTTATTGAGAGGCTTGACTTTCAGAGAGTGGTGAACTTAGCTGCAGGCTCGGAATAAAAAACAGAGCCATTATCATTATTCTCTAACAAAAGAATAGGCAGTGCAATCTTCAGGGGTTGGCGTTTTAAGCATTTCTTTCAGCCCTTGCACACTGACTGTGTAGAAGAGTTTCAAGTTCTCTTCTAAATGTTTTTCTTCCTTTGAGCGCTTGCTGACACAGCTTCAGTTTTATGTTTTGTCTCTTTCAATCCTTGGAAGTGACTCATCTGATTAGAGTGAGGCAGCTGAATGGAGACGGCCAAAAAAAGCAGGAATCGGTGCTTTTGGCGCTAACTGTCCATGGTTATTTCTAAAAATATTAATGCTGATAAAAGATGTGTGCATGACATAGCTGCGAGGTGGCGTCATTGGAGGGACCAGCTGTAGGGGATGTGTGCCCTTCTTGTTATAGAAGTACAAGCTCTACTTCCTGTTGCTTTTTAATTACAGTCCTGCCTCCTTATGGACATGGGATGAAGTGCAGTATGATTTACTAATGCAAGTGAAGTGGAAGTCAATGATCAATAAGACTCAATGGTTTTCTTGGATTACTCAATATTATTGCAGTAATACTAAGATTTATAATAACTGGGCGGTGGAATGGTTCCTGAAAAAGCAGCCCACTTGTTCTCTGTTCCCGTGTGGTTGTGGCTGTCTCTCCTACCAAGGCAGTCATATTGCAATAGAACTATTACTCAGTGTTAGAGTTGTACAGAGTGACAGTCAGCAGGAGGAGGTAGGGTGTGAGAATGAGTGTCTGCATTCCAAAGTGTCCTCCTCCAAGTTTGGCAAAGATGCACAGACCACAAGCTGAACTGGACATAAACTGCAGGGAGGGTTTGGTCAGCAATGAATGTGCCTCAGCAGCACTCATCTCAGTAGTCATGTCATCTAAGTGATTATAAGAAAGTAGACAGCACTGGCTTCTGGGAATTTGGCCTGGAGCCACACTTATGGCTTTTTCAATAAAATGTTTATTTTACAGCTGTGTTCCCGTTTCATTCTAGAACGGGCGTTTGGGGGATGCAGACATAGAACGACTGAAACTAAGTGACTCATACATAAACGGCACACAGGTATGTGTTTGTGTGTGTAGTTAATCTTGTAATTTATGTAAGTAATCTTGTAAAATATTTTTCCTAACATTTGTCCAAGAAAAAATATGCATTAAAAATTGTACAGTAAGTGCTGCTGATTTAAAAAAAAATGTGTCGTGGCATGTCTCAGCTACACTACAGGATGGTGGACCCTGCACATGGTGCTCTAGATGAGAGCTACACACCAGAGGATGACTCCCAGGAAGTACACTCTGTCTTTTCTGATGAGGGAACCACACGGCGGCCAGACAATGGGGTAGAGGGATATGACAAATGTTCCAGTTTTGTTAATATCATCAGGTGTTCTCAAATTTTAACACTTATTTTAATGCATCACTTTCATCTCACTCTCCCTCAGATAAACAAACCAGTCTCGCGCACAGTTCTTCCCTCTGACCCAATGTCCATTGATGGGGGCTTGTCAGTGCCTGGTATGGGCGGATACAGCGCCACTCTGGACCGTCCTTACAGGCACCCTGGTGCAGGAGACTACCCCACTGCCACAGTACCCAGAAACTACCACTACGGCCCTGTTGGGGTCTATGATGACTGCCGAGGAGGCCCACCATCAGAGGCCTACACTAGTCTCAGCAGGGGCTCACACATGGATGAACGCTACAGGTACAAAATCCCTGCATAGAGTAGTGCTATGAATCTTGTGTAGTGGTACATTTATTTGATAATATGATTGTATATCCAGGAATATGCCACTTGTTAGGACAGTACAATCTAATGAGCCACAATTGCACTTGATTTAACCAGGTAAGGTCCCAGTGAGACTCCCAGTTTGATCTAGCCAAGACAGTAGCTTCAACACCAGTTACATTATAAATGTATGTACATAAAAGCATCATTCTGCTTTGTCAGCATCAATGTCATGTTTAGCATACCAATACAAACAACCTAACATGAAACTGTTAAGACGGCCCTGGTTTTAAAACTGCAGCATGTACAGAGACCTAAAATACTCTATATTTGTCACCGCTCTAATTTCTCAGAGAACTCAACAGTCATCATGTGGATGAAGTTCTACTTTTGGAAATGTAGTAGAGGAGCAATCAATAAAGTTTAATGTATAGTTGAGCGCTAGAAGTCAACTCCATAATAACCATACGGTAACCTAGTTAATGTATTAATCACGTTCCACATTCATTCCTACACCAAGAGGTGTTAGACCAGGTTTTAACAGGATGGTGAAACCTCGTTCACGTCACATCACCAGCCTCGCTTTACTGAATTTGACTACTAATCTCCTGTGCTTCTCTCCACAGGCCAATTGATGGCTACAGGACTCTGGACTCTGGCTACCGGGCCCCAAGCCGCCAGCAGCTTGATCCCTATGTAGCACAGCCACAGGCGAGTCGGGGAATGAGGGCTTTGGGCTCAGCTATGGAGATGCGGTATGGCCACGGTCACTATGGCCTTGAGGATGACCAGCGCAGTGTGGGATATGATGAATATGGCATGGGGCCTCCACCCATGCACCCTGGGGGCTATGGGACCATGCCACGTCTGGGGCCCGGCCCTGGGGCTATGGACAGACGAAGACTCAGGTGAAAGATGACATTTTCTGCAGTTGTATCATGACCTTGTTTTTATCTTTTCATTTGGAAAATGGATGTATAAAATATACCTGCATTGTTTTTCTACTGGGTCATCCCGTAACATTGAGAAGTTTGCTTGAGACCCAGCTAACAGTTGTTTCTGTCTGCATCTTTTGACAACATGCAGGAGCTATGAAGATACTTTGGACAGTGACATGGGAGGAGTTGACCCTTATGCCTGGGCTGTTCCTGTGACAATGGAGAGAGGGAGCATGGCCTCATTGGACAGCACACTGAGAAAGGCTCCTCCTGCCTCATGGAGACAGCCGGAGCTGCCCGAGGTCATCGCCATGTTGAACTACCGCTTGGACCCTGTCAAGACCAATGCTGCCGCCTTCCTCCAGCATCTTACATTCAAAAATGATAAGGTGATACTAGGGTCACATTCAAATGCAGAATAGTAGCATTTCTCTTTTATTTCTGAATTGAGATTTTGTGACTGTTTGGCATACTCATTACTTGTGCCTGTGTATCTAGGTTAAGTCAGAGGTTCGTCGCCTGAAGGGTATTCCAGCCCTGGTGTCGCTGCTGGACCACCCCAGTAAGGAAGTGCACCACTCGGCCTGTGGAGCACTAAAGAATATTTCATACGGACGAGACCAAGACAACAAGATTGCCATCAAGAACTGTGATGGCGTACCTGCTCTCGTCAGGTTACTGAGGAAAACCCATGACCAGGACCTCACTGACACTATCACAGGTGCCATTATCATACAATGATCTTTTTTTTTTTTTGTCCTAGATTAGATACAAAATAGACTCATGAAGGAGAAATCAGCATCATATCTGAGTGTTGTGGCATGATTCAAGGGTCAAGCTGTTTTTTGGGGGGTTTTTTTTATTACATTGTTAGTAACAGTATTTATTCTGTCTCAGGCACCTTGTGGAACCTCTCATCCCATGACTTTGTAAAAATGGAGATTGTGGACCACGCCCTGCACGCTTTAGTTGACGAGGTGATCGTTCCGCACTCAGGCTGGGAGCGAGGGAGCAACGGAGGTGAGGAGAGCTGCAAACCACGCCATCTGGAGTGGGAGACCGCCTTGACCAACACTGCTGGCTGCCTTAGGTATGTAAGGGATCAGTGCATGGAAATTAGAGGAAAGTGAAACTTACTTGGAGAAGAAAATGTGCAATTATGTGCTAAACGTCTCCCTTTCTCAAACAGGAATGTGAGTTCAGAGCGCAGCGAGGCCAGGCGAAAGCTGAGAGAGTGCTCAGGATTGGTGGATTCACTCATGTACATTGTCCAATCACAGATAAACCGCAAAGATGTAGATAATAAGGTACGTATTCACTTAAGATGGGTTTTTACACTTAAAGGTTTTACCTTTGGACTTTTTACTCATTTGCTAGACAAATGTTTTCTGTGCGTCTCCATGCTTGATTGTCATGTCACCCTTTCATCCCTTCTTCCTGCAGTTGGTGGAGAACTGTGTCTGCCTCTTGAGGAATCTGTCCTATCAGGTTCACCGTGAAGTCCCCGGCTGTGAACGCTTTGCAGAAACCACCTCCCACAACCAGGGACCGGCGCCTACTAACAAAGGTGGCTGCTTTGGCTCCAGAAAGGGCAAAGGTCAGTGTCGAACATCTGTTACATCTTAGACTTAGTGTGTCTAAGTTTAACTGTTGAAAGATGCATAGCTGCCGGTGGGTTTGAGCGAGTTGTTGTCAGAAGCACCTGTCGCTATTTTTCATGCTCTACCACTGTTTCCCTCCTTTTCCTCCTCTCTCTTCTCCCTCCTTCCTCGTACCCTTCCCCCTTCTTTCTTCTCACCCTGCTGCGCTTCCTACCTTCTCTCTGCTGTGTTTAGATGAGTGGTTTTCCAAAGGTAAGATTCTCTTGGTTTCATGTGTACTGTTTTGAAACTGCTGACCATCCGTTTTACTAACATGGAATACTCCTCCATTGGAGAAATAAGTGTGTCTAATAATGTCAACTTATTCATATTCAGTACACAGGCATGATCATCTGATGTCACGCAAATGATACTGCATGCTCACAGTGCTTGTTCTACTGGTTGCATGGTTGTATTTTAGTTTACAGGATACAAGATTAGAGGACTGAAGATAAGGGAACACATTTCAACCAGCGTCATTTTAATGTTACTTTCTTTGCTCATTTGTTCATGTCTCTTTTTTTTGTTTTCACATTGCAGCAAAGAAGGATGGAGATGATGGAAGTGGAGATCACATTGATATTCCAAAGAGGACAACACCTGCCAAAGGTAAATAAGAGTCTTTACCTTTAAAATCATTAAGACTGGATCCATCTTATTATGTTCTAGTCAGCTCTGTCCATGCTATTGTCAGGGTTTGTTTGTGACTGCTAAACATAAACAGGTTTCTTATAAAATCCGGTTGAGGTGTAAGGACCTTTTTAACTGGATATCTGGATATTCATTAAAGGCTTTGCCACTTATTTTGTTTCATTAGTTTGTCCTTTTATTTAAAATTCATTATCTAATCATAATTTCATCATTTATTGTTTTCTTTGTGTGAATATTATGGCGATATTTACACCACACTACATGGCTATTATAGTTTGTCACATTTTGTAAATCTGAACTAATGCCCCTCTGCTTCACCTGACTTCAGGCTACGAGCTGTTGTTCCAGCCAGAGGTGGTCCGCGTTTACACTTCACTGCTCAGAGAGAGCAAGAACCCATCAGTGCTGGAGGCCGCTGCTGGGGCCGTCCAGAACCTGTGCGCCGGCCGATGGACTGTTAGTACCGTTACTAAACTTGTTTAAAAACATATCATTAGTAATATTTTCAGGCAAAGTCTCAGTCCTAAACCAAATCTGAGCATTTTATTTAAGTAAATTTAATTGATTAGTCAGTTGTGATCAACTTTATGACACTGTGTCTCAAAGTTGCTGAAATGAAACAACTGTTGGTGACATTCATTACTCCCTCTTCACCTGCTTGTTCCTCAGTATGGTCGCTACATTCGTGCCACTGTGCGTCTGGAGAAGGGGCTTCCCATGATGGCGGAACTGCTGTCTCACGGCAATGATCGCGTGGTCAGAGCAATGTCCGGAGCCTTGAGGAATCTCGCCATCGACAACCGCAACTGTGAACTCCTCGGTAAAAAAAAAATAAATAAATTCCGCAAACCTTTGAAATATTATGTAAGAATATGTTTTATGACATAATTTTGTTTGATAATATCTTGTTTTGCTATCTACAGTATTCATTGTGCAACTTTTTGGAAAGTTAAATTGTTCCGTATGCGTGTCCGCTGTAGGTTTGCATGCTGTGCCTCACCTTGTGGCTAACCTGCCTGGAGGCCAGAGTCAGTCTGGGCGCACACTATCTGAAGAGACGGTGGTGTCTGTACTGAGCACGCTCGCCGAGGTCTTAGGCAACAGGATGGAGGCAGCGAAGACCCTCCGAACCTCACAGGGCATTGAGAGGCTGGTACTCATCACTAAGGACAGGTAAGTGCATTCATGCAGTTGACTAAGTACAAATGGTGCTCTCAGTGTTTTCACTGGTGATCGTCTGCTTTTAGAGATTACAGCTGTGAATGCAGCTTGTTACAAACCAACATGTGTTGTATAGGCATCACATATACAGTCTATTTCTTGTCTGCCTAGTCACTTTGAAGCAAGCTTGATTGACTTTTTGTGACTGGCTGTTAAAGACAGCTGTGCCTAGATATGAAGCAGAGACAATCACTTTGGTCAATGTGTGAACTTGTGTCCTACAGCAAACGCTCAGATCGGGAGGTGCGGGGTGCAGGTCAGGTGCTACAGCTCATCTGGGCACACAAGGAGCTGCGCCGGCCTCTCGAGAAGGATGGCTGGAAGAAGTCCGACTTCATGGTCAATCTTAACCCCAGCACCGCCACCACCAATGGCCCGAGCACCCGAGCTAATGGCATGTATGAAGACAGCACCACACCGCTGCTGGACAGAGGTCAGTGTGCAACAAACGATTTACAGTGAAAATTATTTTGACTGCTTATAAACCTAATGTTCAGTAAAACCGTAGCAGAAGGTAAAACTGTGACTGAAGTGTGTGTTTTGATTTGTGATCCTGTTTTTCTTCGTCTTAGGGGAAAAGAAGGACATGATTCCACTAAATGACCTCGGCCCCGGTTAGTACATTCATCATCACTGCTTTTGAGCAAGACAGACTTGTAGAAAATATCTTTTTCAAGATGACCTCTTCTGTAATTTTTCTCCCTCTTATCTATTCTCAGAGGCCTACTCTACACTGGACCAGAGAGAGGGGAGACACACTCTGGATGAGACTGCAGACACTTTACCGGTACTTCTTAAACATACTCGCTCACATTGACTTGTTGAAGTGGTCACACTAACAATACTAACCCCTGGTCTCCTGCATTATGATGCATATTTCCTGACTTGAACCTTTTCCATTGGCAGAGTTTAAAACCTCACGGTTACTGACAGTTTTCTCTCACACTCACTTCCTCTCTGTCTTCTCTTTCTTTTTCTCTGGGTCTCTCTCAGCGAGGGGTGTATGGGGGCAGAAAGGGCTCCCTGCCTCTGTTGGACTCCTACGATGGTTAGCCCCCCCCTCCCCTCCCCCCCCCTCTGCATGTAACAGCATGGTATGTCCAACTGACCTCTCATCCTGCATGGACTCTGAGCTATGTTCCTTTTGTTTATTATACCTTTATATCCTCAGTGAATCTGGTCAAGGTTTACTGTACTGAGACCTACTGTATCTCTATGATACCTTGATGTGGTGTGCACATGCTGGTATAGTATGCTGCAAGGTGCTCCTTGTGCGATGTGGTCCATGCAGTCTGTCATTATACCGATGAACTCAAGGCTGAAAATAAAGATTAAAGCCCTGAGAATAGTAACTGATGTTTGTGCAGTAGTGTTGTCACAATACCAATACCGGTGGTTATATTAATATAAAAATATATCGCTCTATTCATAGGATTTTATTTACCTTCACTTAAGTTTTAATTCACAAAATAATTTATTTGAAATTCAATATGCAGTCAGACCGGCGACTGCATCACTAAGAGGAGGGAAAGGAATGTGATTACACGTAAATGCATGTTTATAAAGGCTTAAAAGTATTTGCCCAAAGGTTAATTCAGTTAAATGTTTGGCTTTTAAAGCAGCATTGAACTTCAGAATCACACTAAAACACTCCTACCTCAGAGCAGCCCTACTCTGACTTTCAGCCAGAAGAAATCCTACACCAAAGAATGAATGTGACGTCAACGTTTTACGACATTACAGAGACATGCTGTAGGTTTTCTGACAGTTGAGGTTTGTAGTTTTAGTGGGGGTCCTGAATTGCTGAAATCGACACCAGTTCAAGTGAAGACTTGATGTCTACACCTGGTAACAGAAGATAACACAATCATTACAATGTCTTAATATTATGCTTTATACCAATCATCTTCTATAATGTGACTTCACTGCATGAAATATTCTCATCAGCCCTATTTCCAACTAAAAAAAAAAAAAAATCTAAATTATAACAATAGAGCCATGCATCCAGGGAGAACAAGATTGTTTTCAAAGATAAGTTTCAGTTGGCTCTCACTTAGCCGTAGTTCTCCCCAGTAACCGCTTGAGTGTTAATTCTCTGATAATGTTTTCAAGCCACATAAATGTCCTTGCCTGAGCTCTGGGCGAGGATTTTAATGTGTGTACCACTGTTGACTCCAGTATATCCAGGGAAACCAGCCATTTTCATAAATGGCCTGTGGTGCTGTAAGAGCGATTTAACTTTGCTTTTTATGGCTGAATTTGTCAGGGTGTGTTCTTCTTGTATTCCACACAAGATCTGTTACAGAACTACTCAGTTTTCATCCATATGGCATCTTTTCATGAGCTCAGTGTCATTACGTGTTATCAAAACATACAGTATCTCTCCTCCCACAGAATCTGCACATATCTCTGTCTGAACGCCACCTCCTGGCAGCTCCAAACCAGTTAAGACGTCCCTGGAGCTCTCCCACATGTTGGTGGAGATAGTGGGAGGGATTTCCTAAACTTAGGGATGTTGATAAAAAGCCTCCTGCCCCTAAAAGTAGGAACAAAATTCTGAGAATTTTTGCCCAGTTAGAAGCGAGTTCCTACACTAAATGAATACAGGCTCAGGTTACTGTGACAGCACTACTGTGCAGTGTGCCATACTTGTATTGCGTAACGAGTCTTTGCATCACCTCCTCATTTACTTTGTAAAATACCCACATTTTTAGTTTGTGTACTTGTATTTTGACTCGGATTTACTCTGCTCCTCCAGAAAAACTGATCGTGTGCATCACCCAGACTGGGCCATTCCCGCCCTACCACTGCTACTGAGGAGAGAAGATCCAGATGCACAGACTCTCTCCCTTTCTTCTCCTCCCCCACCCACACCCCCGTCACAACACAGATGGGATCAGAAGTCGAGGGTTGGCATCCAAAGAAAGTGGTTGTGTTGCAGGCAAAAGCTGTCACGCAGCACACAAATACATACACACCTACTTTTTACAAGTTCATTCAAGTGTAGCAACAGGAATATATTCAGTTTTTAAATTATAGCTGTTCTGTAAAGGCAATCACCATTGTTGACAATCATTTAATTCTGGTGTTGTCATTCTGCTTGTTTGATTTTTTTTCTCCATGCTCTTGTCAACATTTTTTCCATAAGTTGTCATAGTTGACGTTGCTGCCAACACCCGCATCCTAGTGATGAATTTGTACGTAGAATTCTATGTAGGGTATATACTGTATATAAAAAGAAAATGGGATGATTGCATTAGTTTTGGCTCATTAAATTAAATTCCTTACTGGGATTGCTGGGAGGTTGGGGCACGCCGGCGGCCATCCTGTAGATCGAGAATGTATAGGAGTTATTTTCCTGTCTAGAGGTATTTTCTCTTGGTTGGGATGAGCACAGGTGTAGACAAGAAAGGGCAGGTGTGTGTATATTTGTCAAACAGCAAACCTGTGTGTATGTGTAAGAAAGTGAATATGGACCTTTTGAGTGAGAGAGAGTGTGTGTGTGTGTGTGTGTGTGTGTGTGTGTGTTGGACCAAACCCATAAGACCACATCTGTTGTGAAATTTTTTTATCGTGTGCTCCTGTGAAAGCATTTTTTTTTTTTTTTTTAGTTTATATGTACCGACTGCCTTTTTTTTGTTTGATACCTTTAATTTCCTGCTTTTTTTTTTTTCTTACTTCCCCAGTTTAAAAAAAAAAAAGATTTAAGCTGCTATTTTGACATTTCAGCTTGGATTTGGCCAAACCGACCAATATTACACACCAGACGTGGTGCTGAAATGTGAAGCTGCGAAAACACACACACACACACACACACACACACACTACTAAACTAGTCCTGGCTCTACTCTATAGATGCGACCTACTTTACAGTTTCTTCATTTAGAAGGTAACAAACTCTTCTCGTCATCTCTTTAAGTCTGTTTTGTCCAAAAATGTAACTACTTGCTGAGACTTGAGTTGTAACGGACAAATACTAATGTTTAATTTGAGAGATGGGCAAAAAGCACATTTTGGTCAAAATTGTTTTTCACTTTGTTTTATTTTGGGGTTTATATGTGAGGGAACGGTGGCTGAACTTTATGCAATTTGTTCTACTTTTTAGTCCCAGTTTTACCACTGAGTTGTTTTTAAAGGCAAAAGAGACCAATCATCTTTTTTTTTTTTTCTTGTTCCTTGTTTCTTTTTCTAAACTCTCCACATACATAGTATATTTGTACTGTTGCCTACCCATGGAAAATCATGATGTACCATTCATACCTGCCTTGGCTCTGAGAAGTTGCTTTTTTTCAGTCAAGTATGTAACTGGTAATACTATTGTTTTTATAAATAAAGATCTTTTCTTAGAGGAGATGCATGATTGATGGCTGTGTGGTGAGATGTGGATGGACTTGCATTGTCATGTAGTTAAACACATCTTATTAAAGAGAGTCTGAGTAATTTCATCTCTGCTCTTGTTGAGGCAAATGGCAGAAGCATAAGCTTGATGCTATGTCAGATATTCATTCCCTCACATCAGGGTGCTCAGTTTGTTTTTCTTCTTCTCTGGATTTACTATCGAGGCTTGTTTTTCTGAGAAGTTATTTGTTGCCAGACCTTTTTCAGCTCGCTACAGCCATTAATCTCCTAACTAAATTCCAGTTCATTAACTTTGAAACACAAAGTGCATCGCAGCACAGTTAAAAACCAATAAGTGCTGACACACTCAGCTTTGCTGTTGTCTCCGGTTACACACTGAGCTGTGTGCTGACAGGCAATATCTGTCACCTACGTGTCTGTGTACGTTTGTCAGGCCCCAGCCAAATCGAAAGAGCATATGAGACACTGAGGGAGTGGAAGTGGCTCAGCATTTCCAGCATGTAACGCATCTGAAATACATCTGTTGATTGGGAAGCAACTGCTGTGTCATGAGGACTTGAAGTGCATGCCAGTGTGAAAGTTTAATATTAGTCAGGCTTTGTTGTGCATGTGCCAGCGTGTGACCTCTACCAAGTCAAACTGCTTAATACAGATGTTAACGCTAACAGGAATTAGCAAGAGAGATCATATCTCTCCCATATTAGCTTCTCTCCACTGGCTTCCTGTAAAATCCAGAATAGAATTTAAAATCCTAACATACAAAGCCCTTAATGACAAGGCTCCATCGTATCTTAAAGACCTCATAGTCCCATATCATCAGCCTTTAACTATCAAGCTCCTCTCCTATTGAACCAGATCCCAGTCTCAGTTCAGGAGGCAGACACCCTCTCTACCTTTACGATTAGACTTAAGACTTTCCTTTTTAATAAAACTTATAGTTAGGGCTGGATCGGGTGCCCGTGAGTCTTCCTTTAGTTATGCTGCTATAAGCCCCGTGATGCTTGGAGTTTCTCTCCTCGCTCTCCCTATGTTTCTATATGCCACCATTACACATCACTAACTTTGTGTCTCCTCTCTCCCGTAGTGTGTCCTCTCTCTCTCCCTGTACCTTTCTGCAGGTTGCCCTGGCCCTGGAGCTCTATGTTTCTGACGAGCAGTCACCAGCCACATCGACCTGATCAGTGTTTGATTGTTGTGTCTTGTTGCTTTTCTTCTTTTGTCTCCCCTCTATCCACTCACCCCAACCGGTCGAGGCAGAAGGCCGCCCACCAAGAGCCGGGGTCTGTCGGAGGTTTCTTCCATTAAAGGGAGTTTTTCCTCCCCACTGTCACCAAGTGCTTGCTCAAGGGGGATTTGTTGGGTTTTCCCTATGTAATAATAGTGATAACAGTAAGGTCTAGACCTTACTTTGTAAAGTGTCCTGAGATGACTTTTTTTTTGTTGTGATTTGGTGCTATACAAATAAAACTGAACTGAATTGACTTTTTCGAACAATATATGTTCACAGACTCAAGTTAGTGTGAGGAGAGATTTTGGCAGCAGAGGAGTTAATGTTCTACATAAACTTCAACTTGGCTGTTTTTATAGGTTGACATGAGTATGTCATATTTAAGATACATAGTACTACATTTAAAACCAACAAATACTAAATATGGTTATGTATGTCAGTGCTGATCAGATAGCTTGCTTTGGGGAATATAGATATGGTTTGAGTGTTTTCTTTCAATGTCTGAACAAAATATATCAAACTCCTGAATTTAAGAAGTTTTCAGATTTAAATCATAAAGTATCTGATCAGATTAACAGTGACCAAACAGTCTGACCAAGCATTACTTTTCAAATTCTAACATACCTGTATGGACCAAAAGAATAACTGCAATAATTTGAATGTCAGCTTATAATATAATATCTTGTTCAACCACAACTGAATACTTGATAGTGACAATGAAATAAAATGGACAATTAGTACTAATTATTACTAATTATCAAATCTGATCTTATCTCATATGGACACTGGTGTCTGGATAGTAAGAGAACAATATAAGGAAATGAACCTGAAGCAATAAAATGCCCCAGTGGAAATTACAGCCTTGTTAGCAGCTGCCAGGATGTAAACACTAACTGCACCTGCCACAATAACAATCTCCTTGACATGTAGTAGCCACGGTGTTAGAGCTGCAATAAACTGTAGAGAAGCATAAGTGGTTTAGCTGCTACAAGCAGACATGTATATGATTGACAAGTGTGTGTGCATGTCTGAGTTAGTCACTGAGTGCCTGTAATGTTTGTAAAATGTGCAGCTGGTACACTGCACATACCTTTCCTTAAACATGAGAAGACTAAATGCAGCAGATTCCCCCTCCCTCCCTCTGTCCTGTTATTTGGTGTCATATCTATTTAGGGCTCCCTCTCTGTTCTTCATTTCCTCTCGGTCTCTCTGTAAAGCCCCAACAAAAGCAGCGACATTCAACTCCTGCACTCGAGATCTGAGGGAATACTGTTGGGATAATAAGTCCGAAGGAATATAGGGCATGAGATGAATGACTGTTGAGGAATGTAGCACCAGATTCGTGACAGTGAGCCAGAGTCCACATTAGGAACACCACCAGGTCTGTTACCATGCATTTGGTAGGGAAACCACACCAGTGGGAGAGTATGTTTGGCCTGTTTTGCTTTTGATTTCTGGAGCTGATTTGTGGAGGAATGAGAGTACAAACAGATCCGTTTAAGAGCAAAGTACCTGCTTTGTTTTGCCTTTTAACTCATGGATTCACTCAGTGTCCCCAGTCCATCCTCTTCAAGCTCAGAAGACGAGTCCCCTGATGGCACTCCTGTCCCGGACTCCTCTCGCCACACATCCCACGCTGGGAAGCAGAATGGGCTCAGCGGGCTGGGCTACGGGCTGAGGGTGGCCTGGTACAACCTGAGGCCCTTCATCCCCTTCTTCATCATCAGCTTCATGGTTGTGGCGATCGTCTACTTGATGCAGACCATTGTCTATGGGGGGCCCTACAAAGACCCCCTCTTCTTTGTTAAGTTCAACGAGCGCTGGCCCCGGCCCACCCCAATCCGACAGCACTCTCCAACACCTACCAAAATTTTCGGTCTGGTCCCCTCCTCGTTTTTCGAGCAAGTCATTGATGACCAGCACAGTGAAAACAAGACTATGTGAAGTGATCGACTATGTGGATATGAGCAACGTGGACTCCTCAGGGACTGCACGAGTCTCAGCGCTCAGACTGATAACTGACTGAGAATGGAAATACTGTGCATCTTCTTTTGGTTATATTTGGGCTGGTATACAGTGAATCAACCTCACCTGTCTGATAATCAGCCCATAAAGCGGAGCCTATATGACAACATTTTGCACTATTGTCTAATTTTTTTTATATTTATGTTTCTATAGTGCTTTTAAGGCCAAATTTATCCAGGTAATTTGTTTTTGTAAATCATTTACACTGAAGTAAAGGAGTTTATAAGTCATATAAAATAAATAAATAATTAAATAAATCTGTATGTTTTAGACAATAAATGTGATTTTCTGACATAAAGCACTATGGATATATGTTTTGTCTGTAGGTCTGCTGATATTGTGATGTTATCCCTTGAACACTCTTTTTATTTTTCATTTAAAGGTAGGGTTGGTGATCCTGGAAAAACCAGCAAGAGGAAACTCAATTTTGAAAGTAGACAACTGAAGAAATCCCACCCTTTCATTTTGACTTCTCTGCAAAGCCACTCCTCCAAAACATGACATGCACTGCAACACACATTGCCAGGCTAATACTTATAGATTTCAGGAAAATAACAAATGGCCCCCAAACAAAACTACGCCGATTATGACCTGTCCAGCAAATATATGGCCACCATGGTGTCACTTTTCAGCCCCTTTTGCTCTCAGTTGTCACCATCTTTCAAAAGTCACACCAATGTTAATTCAGGTTGTTCTTCTTGCAGCATCCAACCTCTTTTTAGTCGAATATGGTGTTACAAATGTAAAATCCTTAAAACTCACTGGACTGATTTTTACAGAACATAACATGAAACCAAAGAATGCTACAGCACTACAAACTCACCCACTGTGACTGAATGAATGAAAATGGTTATGAATTGAATTTTATAATAATACTGATTAAGAAACTTAATGCAAATGAATGTTCAAACAAAGAGGCATGGGGTGACAGGTAGATTGGTAGCTCTGTACAAGATAATATATTAGCGGATGTAAATAACAATTTGTCAAACTGTTTATTCATAGTAATATTGTTGTAGCTGTTCCCTGGACCCCAGGAAGATTAGCTGTTAGGCTACAATAACAGGGATCAAAGTAAAGTATGAATATATGGAAGAATTTTTAGCATGGTTGTTGTAACCTATTAGACTGTATGAATTTTAGTCAGGTGCACCTAATAAAGTGACAGCTGACAGTAAACTAGATTAACATTTATCGAAGCAACCCTGCTAGTTTTGAATGTGTTTGAGATGAAGACGAAGAAGGAAGTTAACGGAGATAACCATCTCGTATTTACCCTTTTTTACTGTAATCTTTGACAGTCCATTTCATGCTCTGCTAGCTCTGTGCGGCGGTGTTGTGCCGCCCCTAGTGGCGGGGCCACAAATTACAGCTACACTTTCCCGCTGGTGACCACGCTGACCCGTGGATGACCTCACCAAAACGCACAGAAAAACTTTTGTTTGTTAACGTCACTTTGAAAAATATATCTTAAATCGAACCAGGTAAATTGTTTTGCCGTGAGAGTGGATTTCTACAGAGCTTTGAGGCTCGCAAACGGTGAGTGAAGCCAGTGTTTGTAACCTGCCCACGTTTGTTTCAGTTTTCACCGCGGGAAGGACGTAACGTATGTGTAAATCGCTCACAAGTTTATTAAGAGTCAGTAATGTAGATTTTATGACATGTTAACTCATTTAACAGCTGGTCTTTTCACAGCTACGTAGGCTACTCCCTCTGATAAACACTGATAGCTTGCTAGGTGTCCGCAGGGATGCTAACCTGTAGGTGTGTCGTGTAGCAGCAGAACAGGTTCCCATGTCGGACTTCTTCCAGTGGAAAAACGTTTTTATTTGGTTGTTTAAAACACGTATGGACATTTATGGCGATTTGCTGTGGTGGAAGACGTACTCCGATCTGATTTTTGACTTTAAAGTAGTAACACCAGTATAGAAATACGCGGTTATAAACGACCAAAATAAACTATTTAACTACCAAAATTATGCAGAATGACCCGTTTCAGAATAATATTGTCAAAGTTTTATGTAAAGGAAATTAATGCAGCCTCTGCAAAATCACACACAAAGAATGAGCTTTCAAATGTTTATGAGCTTACTTTTTTATTTCAAACCCTAAACAGCATATGTGTTGTGCACAAGCTTAGATTTTGGGAATCTCTTTTTTACTGTTACTATTTTATATATCGGCTGTGTACCATGTCAATTTTCCACTTGCTTATAAATTATGTCTTAGCCTATGATAATGCACCATAATTAGTTTGTTGATTATATTTTACATTATTAATCTGTATTATAAGTAAAATTTAAAACTACAACATTGGCCTCTAAAATGTAGCTAGTGGAGTAAAAGTAGGAAGTAGCAGAAAATACTGAAGTGAAATACAAGCACCTTAAATTGTACTTAAAACCTAATTACTTATTAGAATTGAACAGTTATGTAGTGAGAAATACACCAAATGCCATTTTTGTTATATGTTATGAATTCACTTTCACCCTTTGCTCCTCTGCTGAAGTGGATGGCAAAATGTGGTGCTACCAAAAACCTGGGTTCAAAGTGCTCCTCCTCGCCGAGCTGCAGAGACAACAGCAATGCAGCCAGTTCTGTGACACTCTACTCAAGGCAGAAGGTTTAAACACACTCAGAAACGAATTAACACACATTACAGCATTAAACTCAGAGTTTCTAATACTATGGTTTATGTTCTTGTAATATTGTTCTGAGCAGGAGTGTGTAAATTCTACACATTTTCACATCTTGTGTTGTGTTTTCTTGAATATGTGGAAACCATTATAGTTACTGATGCCTTTTCTCTCCTCCAGGTGTTTCAGTACCGGCACACAGCTGTATTCTCTCAGCTGTCAGCCCCCACATCTCCTCAGCTCTGTCCTCGGTGCCAGCGCCTCCTGCAGGACAGAGCCGTCTCCTGGAGTTTCAGACTCTTGGCGCCTGCACCCTTCTCCACATGGTCAGACTGCTGTACTCTGGAGAGATGGCAGGGGAGGGGGAGAAGGAGAAGCAAGAGGCTATTTCAGCTGCAGCCAAACTGGGTATCCATGGGCTGGTGGAGGTGACAAAAAGGAAAAGCAGAAATGAGGGAGGAGGGGTTCAGCACGCGGAGGTGGGAGTCCAGACAGAGCCACTGATGCCTGTGGAGAGCGAGAGGAGGCAGAGCAGGTGGAGGAGAGACGTGAGGGATGGGAGCACTGTTCTATGGAAAGAGATACTGTCAAATGGTGAAAAAGATATGTGCACTCAGACAGATGAGCTGCAGGTGAACGTACCTCTGCCTACTCATACAGCAGTCTCCTTGGACACCATTGATGTGACTGTTCTCCAGGAGTTAGGGTTAGGACAGACAGACTCCCAGCTTGTACCATCTCAAATTCCCTACATCCCCATACCTGCCGTCTACCCACCAGATGAAAACCAAATTCCCCAACCTTCCTCTGCTCCTCCTGCCTTTATGCAAGACCCCACAGCAGCTCGATACACATCTGTTGCTGCTGTGGCAATGCCATACACCTCCACACCCCCGTCCCTCCTTCCTTTTACTGCCCAGTTGGGCCCATGTGCTGCAGACCCTGAGAACTGGTGGACTGGCACTCAAGAAGCAGCCAAAAATGTCACAGCAGGTGAAGAAGGGGATGAGCGGTTTGAGATGTTCCAAGACAATATCGCAGGATTTATCAGCTATTTCCTGAACTCAGACCAGGAGCACGTTTGCACGGAGCAAGGAGGGAGGCAAGCAGGAGCGAGAGGCGCCAGGAGAGCCAGGACAGGCCAGAGACACACCAGGAGACCACGAGCAACAGGAGGGAGGGGGAGAGGACGGTTCACACAGACGGTGGCTGTGCAGGATGTGGGGATGAGCAGGCTGCAGAAGCTGTTCCTGAAGAAGGAGAGGGTGAGGACATCCAGGGCAGGTCAGGGTGGAGGAGCTGTGGGCAGGAAGTTGTACCTGAAGACAAGAGAGTTTCTGACATCAGCGAAGAGCTGTCAGAGGACAAGAAGGCGTGGCAAAGTGTGGGAGTTCAGTGAGACTGGAGACACACTGCCCTACAGTGAGAAAGGAGGAGGAGGAGGTGCAAAGAGTGGAAGGAAAACCAGAGCACAGCAGCGAAACCAGGTGAGAGCCTGCCTTGTGTTTGTGGCATGAGTGAAATGCTCAAGGAGATGGTAGGTGTGTTATTGTCTGATTTGACAATGAAACACCACCTCTTGAAATATAACATTTTCCATACAGGATACAGTATGGAAGAGTTAAATCTGTAACTGTACTACTGCTTCAAAATGCAGGAACGTTTCTGAGAAATGTTAAAGAAACCACAGGTAGTTTCCAAGAAAATCCAGCTTAATATGAGCATTACAAGTATAAGAAAATATGTCCAAAATAAAAAGGTGGTCTTCAGCATCTGCCCTCTGCATGTTTGTCAGTGTATGAACAGAGTCGGACATTGTAGCACAGGATTATTGCTTTCTTGCTTATTTCTAACTAGACAGACTCATTTTTGTAAGACTGCAAGTAATAGTTATTTTTTTAATATATAATCTGCCATTTATTTTATCAACTGACTATAAAATGTCTCACATCAGTGTCACAAAGTTTTGTATCACACAACAAAGAAAAGCAGCAATTAATTACATCCGAGAAGCTGAAACTTGTGAATGTCTGGTATTAGACAGTTAGTTTAATCAGTTAATAAATTAAACAATTAATTACTTGTCAAATTGTTGCCAGTTAATTTTCTGTCAATTAATTAATCTCTACATAAACTCAGTGTATAATTGCTGTTTAATAACTGGCGACACATTAATACACATTTTAATTCCTTCTACATTCTGCTGTGTATATTTCATTGCAATTTAGCTTTGGTTTCTCTCCTGTTACAGGACAGTCTCCCAGTGGGCACAGCCCAGAGGGCAAGAGCCAGACCAGCTACGCCAGTGTCCTTTTCTCCCTTTCCCATGCAACTCTACAATGGGGTATCAGCCTCCAGCCCTTCCCTCCAGCCTCCTCCGTCTGCCAGCCTGCTGTCATCTGCTGCTTCCTATGTGTCTCCAACATCCTCTCTCCTCCACACCACCTCCCACTCTCCACCCAGTGAGGACCAGTTCGAGCACATCGATCATCTTCTGGAGGAAGTGATGATGGGCCTCCACATTTTACCAAACGGCAACAGCAGTGGCACCAAGTGTGCTCAGCCTCCTATTCCAACCAGCAGCAGCAGGTGCACCTGTGCCTCCTCTGGGACTAATTTGGCCCAAAACAAACAACAGGACCATACCACTGGCTTCTTAGAAGCAGGACCAGGGGTTCATGGGTCCACACAGGTTGTTAATATAGCAGGAGGAACTTGCGATTCCAATTCTATAGCCAGTGAGGTGCCTGTTCTGCAGCAGCACCAGGAGGGTGAGCTGAATGACATGCTGAATAACTTCCTCCAGTTATTTGAGCAGCACATTAACAGCTGCAGTGCCAGGGAAGACGAACAGATGGATGATGAGAGCTCCTCAGTAGCTAGCCAGCCTTACAGTGACCTGAGCAAATACAGAAAAACCACAACCACTCCCACTCCTCCTCTGCAGAATAAACACAGTCGTCAGCCAGTTGGATGCCCTCGAACAACTGCACTGCAACAGAGCGGGGCTGCTGCTCACAGCACCCATCCCCCAAAACATACTAAGGGGACCACTAGTAAAGCCAGAGCACCAGTAAGGAGGGGCAGAACAAGCCAACTTATGTTCTCATTAGGGAGAGAGGTTGTGAGAGGGAGGAAGTCAGTGTCATCGAATGATGCAAAGACCAAAATCCCTCATGAACAAAAAGACAAGCAGCTCCAGCAGGTTCCTGTAGTCATACTGGAGAGAAGTCTGGTGCTCGGGCACTGTCAGAGTCATGACGTCAAGGTGACAAACTTCACTTATTTTTAAAGCAAGTGTCTCAACTGATGATAATATGTGACAGCCACAAAATGTAAACTGGTTTGTCTGTGTATTTTTTCAGAGTCCTGCAAAAACAAAGACAAGTTCAGCATCAGTGAAATGCTCACAGGACAGGTCATCTAAAAAGAACCAGTCAGTGTGGTGGAGCACAAAGACGTACCCAATCAGGAGCAGGTTGGGGGAAGCTAAGGTTAGTGCTCATCATATTAGATTAGGTTAGATTCAACTTTATTGCCATTACACATCTACAAGCATTTCGTTGCCTTTACTTGTACATGTGTAATGACAATAAAGTTGAATTTAAACTAATCTAATATGGTGAGCGTTGACCTTTTTACGAAGTTGAGTTGAGTGTGCTGCGATGCATAGAAAAGCGCTATACAAGTATAAGAACATTGACTTCCTTTTGGAGCCGGCCTCAAATGGCCATTCCAACTGCGGTTTTGAACACTTCCACACTTCATTTCTCAGCCTCAGAGTCTAATCCTTTGGCCTTGTTGTGTTTAGGCCTAATTAGCAAATATTAGCATGATAACATGGTAAACTAGATGGTGAACATGGGAAACATTATGCCTGATAAACATCAGCATGTTAGCATTGTCATGTGACCATAATAGCATGTTGACATTAGCATTGAGCTCAAAGCATCGCTAGGCACAATGTAGCATTCTCATTGTATGGCCAAAACTGTAATTATGAACACTTGAATGTTCACGTCAATCTCGGACCTGTAATTCTGAGTCATGTTTTAGGAGTTTCTGACATTTTCCCACTTGGTGAAAAGAACGGCAGACATGTCAACAGACTGTCGGAAAAGTGGCTGCAAATGCACCACACCTTGATAAAATAAAACCAAGCGTTAGCACTAATGCAATTAGTGTTAACGCTGGTTTATCTGGTCTATATAGTGTGACTACAAGGTTAGCACCAGGGCTGAACACCTTGAAATAATGTGCAAACTGAATAGGGGATTTTAAATTCCTGTTCTTCCCATTCCCAGCATTGTTTGAACAATACAGCTGTAGGGCTGCAAGCTTGGCTGCAGTCTCTTAGTCTTGTTTTCATGTTTGTCTGTATAATCTAATAAGGTTCATTTGTTTTTACAGGACAGTACTACTTTTCTTAAAGAGCCACGAGCACCCTCAACAGGCCAACCAGGCGTCAGGAAAAGCAGGCCCAAGAAAAATGGACAGCTTCCCAGTTCATCTAATGGTGAGAGTTCATCATTACCAATTCAGCCACAGTTTGTGGATCCCTGTGGCATGGAAGAACAATTAGAGAATGATCAAGAGAGACAGGAAGAAGAATTGACTGTTCAGCCACAAGAAGAGGCAGATGGACCTACACGGAGGGGAAAGAGGACAACGGTAGAGTCAGAGGAGACAAGCGATGATGCCACTGTGGTCAAGAGGGTTTGCTTTGAGCAAGTGGCACAGCCGGCCACTGAAACACCCTTACCAAGCTTCGAATCTGCTGACTGTGAAGCAGGAACTGTAGAAACAGAGGATGTGATTGATGTAGAGACTGTTTCCCTTACCGGTGTAGGACACTGTTTACAAAGAGATGAACAAGAAGAGAACCCAGTGTGGAGTAAAAGCACAGTCAGTCAAAGTGAGGAGAGCTTGCTAGATGAAGAGACGGAGAGCAGCAATGCTGAGTTTATCGAAGTGGATGAAGACTCTGATGGAATAAATGACCTGGAGAAAGATACAGGTGACTGCCACGAGTGGGTAGAAAAAGACCGCGACCAGGGCGGAGCTGCACCAGTTATGTCCCAGTTTGTTTCGCCTCCTTTACATTTTGCAGAACAGGCCAGTTTAGGGTCGGCAGTAAGCAGAGAAGACGAGGACATCGATGTGATCGGAGGTTCCAGTCCCGCCCCTGAGCCAGTGTTCATCAGCTGGACAGAGTCTTCAGAAGGCGAGAAAGATACAGGTGACTGCCACGAGTGGGTAGAAAAAGACCGCGACCAGGGCGGAGCTGCACCAGTTATGTCCCAGTTTGTTTCGCCTCCTTTACATTTTGCAGAACAGGCCAGTTTAGGGTCGGCAGTAAGCAGAGAAGACGAGGACATCAATGTGATCGGAGGTTCCAGTCCCGCCCCTGAGCCAGTGTTCATCAGCTGGACAGAGTCTTCAGAAGGGGAGAAAGATACAGGTGACTGCCACGAGTGGGTAGAAAAAGACCGCGACCAGGGCGGAGCTGCACCAGTTATGTCCCAGTTTGTTTCGCCTCCTTTACATTTTGCAGAACAGGCCAGTTTAGGGTCGGCAGTAAGCAGAGAAGACGAGGACATCGATGTGATCGGAGGTTCCAGTCCCGCCCCTGAGCCAGTGTTCATCAGCTGGACAGAGTCTTCAGAAGGCGAGGAAGAGGATGAAGACGAGGACATAGATGTTGAAGAAAAGACACACTGTGCTTCATCAGTGCTTTGTGCTGCTGCGAGTGAAGGTGAGCTTGTTAACAGAAATCATCTGACCAACATGCTCTCCCGTTAGCATCTGTGACGTCCAGTCCGTTTTATTTTCTTCTTATCGTTTTCAGTTATTTCTCACATTTCCCAGAAAATATTGCTGAATCGGTTTCATTTGGCTGAGTTTTAGAGACAGGTAGAGAAGAGATAGAGACAAACGTGGTTTCAGCATAAATATTTGTTTTTAGCAATGTCCTGAGTGGCTCCTGTTTTTATTGTGTTCATCTGACAGTCACGTGAAGGATTTGCGTTTTCCCTTCAGCGGTGTTTAAGAAAAGAAAAGCTGTGAGCTGTTTGTTTGGATTGAAAGATTAATGTGGTGAAAACCTGACAAGAAATAAATATGCAATATAAGCATAAAGACAACAAACGAACTGTATAGTTTTGTGTAGACATTGAATTTCAGCTCTGTAGTTGAGAACAGACACCTTGTGAAGCTGTCAAAGGTCACTGAGCTCATTCATTTCTGTGCTTTGTAGATGTTTAGCCATTGATTTTATATGAAGACAAGCTTGTTACTGCTAAGGTCAGTAAGTTCTAACTGGTAAACGGATACGTTCAGCAAAGTTTAACCGGCAAGTGTTGAAAACAACACTGATCAAAGAGTTTAGAAAGAGATTTCACTGCAGGTGTCTGTACCATGAAAGGCATCGAGTGTTTTATTACTTGTAAATACGACTGTGACTGTAGAAGTTGTAACTATGACTGAGAATGTCGATCTCTGTTCTGCCACAGTTTGCAAATGTTCCAGAAAACCCGTCTTCCTTCTTCTACTGTCAGGTCATTTTTGACACAAGGACAATTTTTGCAATAAAGATTTCTTTTTTGTTGTTTTTTCTGGTGTGGAATCACCTCTATGCAACAGTACACGTGCTTATTCTTTATATCGACTCTACTTGACTTGCACCTGAGGCTCATCTATTGATCAATTTTAGGATTTTTCAGATTATTAAATGGCAGTGCAATATGTACAAGTCAGTAAGCCCAATAGCGTTGGAATCACACAGGCACTGTCACAACTAAAATAAGTGGTCGACATATTGTTGGTTTGCTTTCCCAAGAAAATTTCTGCTACTGTCATGGCCATGGGATTATTTCTCAGTACACCGATCAGCCATAATATTATGACCACCTGCCTAATATTGTTTACGTAGAAGTCAATGTAGCAGTTAGTTAGAAATAATTTTTATTTTAGAGACCAGTGTACAGTATTTTTATTTCTATTCATTTTAACAAAGATTCAAACAAAATGGAATCTTTTGAAAAGGATGAATGAATTTTAAAAGTTTAATCTACGGTAGGTCAACCTCATCATCAGTGAGCCATGGGTGTTCATGACCCTGTTGCCAGTTCACCATTAGTCCTTCCTTAGACACTGTTAGTAGGTACTAGCCACCGCAGACTGGGAACACCCTGCAGTTTGGGAGATGCTCTGACCCAGTCATCACAATTTGGCACTTGTCAAAGTCACTCAGGTACTTAGACATGTGTTTTTCCTGCCTCCAACACCTCAACTTCAAGGTCTGAATGTTCACTGGCTGAGTAATATAATCCACGCACTGACAGGTGCCACTGTAACAGATAGTGTTATTCACATCACCTGTCGGTGGTCATAATGTTATGGCTGGTCAGTGTATTGTCCATTTCAATGTTCCCATAAATGCTGCCTATGTTTTTTCAAAATGGTAAAGATTTCTTCTTTGTGTGTTTGGCGGTTTTCATCTGTTAAGCTGCACAGTGTTCAGTTCTTGGCCACCATACTAAACAGATCCTTTATGTCTTTGGGTGTTCCTCCGGTTTTCTCCCCTATCTTTTCGCAGTTTTTCCATCAGTCTACACCAAGTGTCACTTGACTCCTGACTTGAAAAGTTTGTAGTTTCATCCTCTACAAAGATCAGTGAAGAAAGCACTTTGCAGGCACCGTTCAGGCCTGTATCGTGTTTTATACTGCAAAGAAAGTTCTCAGTGAAATCACATGCACACTTATACATGATAAAACAAGAATGCATGAAGTGAAAATGAGTTTATTAGTGATCAACCTGTGGATCAAACTGCTAGACGCAACAACTAAACACATCTGAGCTGCACCACAGCCCACAGCACAGTCTGCTGCACTGAGGAGTGTGAGTGCCACTGGGGAGGTTTCCCTGGTTGTGGCTCTGAGTTGAAGCTTCATCTCCCCCGTTTGGTTCACTCCAGTTCGCTGAGGAAGCACTCTATGTGTCGTCCAGCTCAGGTGAGAGCACAGCGCAGGTGTGTTTGTGGCAACCTCTTCACCAGATAAAAGGACACTGAGCATCAGTTATGCCAGTGTGTGTATGTGTGAAATGTGTGTCCCTGTGCTTTAATAGTGCAGTCTTGTGTCATCACACTGTGGCTGTAAATCAGTTTGGTGT